GTCAAAGCAGCGGGCTGGACGAAGGAGCACAAAGGCACAGCTGCTGCTGTCCAAGGTTGCAGGCTGAGCCACTGGCTTCTGCCAGGTGGGACGTGGCACCCAGCAACGGGGCTTGTGGCCCCTGCCCCTCCCGGCTCCTCACCTTCAAAACTTGCCAGCAGAGCCCCACCTCTGCCATCCCAAAGAGAAATCCTAATGCTGGGGAAATCACAACATTGAAGTAAGGAGAACAGAAAAACAACACGCTTAGTTATTTAACCCAGCTTTATTTGTTCATTTTCTGATATTGAAGCATAATTCTAATTCTGAAAGCAGTAGTGGGCAAAAGAAAGCCATAGGAGGAACCACGAAAGGTATTTAAAATTCAATATTCAACTCTGGAGAGCAGAGTTAGCCTTTTCTAAACAGGGAATACGTTTCATATCCACTCATTTGATGTGGTCTTCAAAGTTAAAGACGATGCTGCCTCCATCTCTCTTTCCATCATCGCATTAGAGTTTCCATAGAGAAGTGAGGTCCTGGAGTCTCACCTTTGCTCCCTAAGAGGCCCTGGGCCAGGAAGAAGCTGGATTTAGTCCGCAGCGCCCCTGGGCAGAAGGTGTGGATGCGCTGCCTCCATCGGAAGGTCCTGGGAAGTGGAGCACACTGACGTGACGGTGTCCTCAGGAGGGCCCCACTAAGACTGAGGCACCTGGACTCTGATGTAATTTCTCTGCCTGGGTGGGCTGGGTATAAACACAGAAGAGCCAGAGTAGAGTGGGGTTATGCCCCAAAAAGCTTCAAAATAAAAAGATCCATTTTAAAGAAGGACATCCAGGTAGACAAGTGCTCAAGTCATGAGTAAAAAGTGTGACCTCTAACCTGACTTCTAATGCCTGGCCTGGTTTTGGACCAATATGGATGGGATCAGTGTTTCCTGCTGCATCTGGTTCTCTGGCCGTCGCAACCATGTGTGGAGCTGGCGTTCATTCATCTTCACTGTGGTCGCACGTCCCGCTGTGTGAATAGGCCACAACTTACTGCTCATTCCCCAGTTGACAGGCTGTGGCTAGCCTTTGGCTGTTTCCAGCAGTATTTCAACTCTTCACTTGGATGCATTCCACCGGGTGCACACCTGGCCGTGGCACTGCGGGGCCGCACGGTGAGCACGCATGCAGCTTCTAGAGACACAGGCCGCAGCCTTCCCACAGGCTTGTACCCGCATGCCTTCCGCCAGCGGTGAGAGTCTCTGTCACTCCATGTTCTCCTGGACACTTGCTGGTCTGTGTTTTCTTATTCCGGTCATGCTGCTGGGTCCCCTCATTTCTGAGGTGAGAGCTGAGTCACCTTTCCCAGCAGAGCAAATGCCAGTTAGTTCTGGCACGACCAGGAATCACCAACTAGAAGACCTAGGCTGTCCGGGTGAGTGTTGGTAAACTGGAAGCAGTCTGGGCAGCCGAGGCTTTGGTGAGGTTGGCGGGATATGGATTCGAGGACCTTCGGCACTTCCCAAGGGCAGAGTCCTGGTCCTCCAGGTCTTGCACGAGCGGAGGGAGTATGAACTCAGGGAGCAGAAGCAACATCGTCTGTGTGGATGTCCTTTGCGATTCAGGCTTAAGTGGTAGATTCTTCGTTCTCACGTGGAGAATGAAAACAGCAGTCAGCCTGTCAGGAAACCTGGGGTCTTCCCAGGCGGCTCACAGTTCCTTAGGTAATGGCTGGGAACCCGTGCTGGGTAAGCTCAGAAGGTAAAGCCGCAGTTAAAATGAACAAACTATTAAATAAAGGAGTGGCCAAAATTTTTTGCCGGGAGCAGGAAGCAGTAACATCAACGCACCTCTCTGCACCAGGCTAACGGGCCCTGTCTGGTTACGAGTAATGGGCAGGTGGATATAAACTTGAAACGACACACAAGCTGAAGGCCAGTGCTGTGGAGCTGTGCTCCAGAGGAGCGGTTCGCATGGAGAACAGTGGGATGGTGATAGCTTCGGTTTTGTGGTCATGGAGGGCAGGCTAGGGAGGAGGCCTAGTTGCTAATGTTCAGACACCCCGTGGGCATGTATTTGTGCCGCCTTCCCGTAAGCCACCCGTGTGTGCCCACAGCAGAGGCGTGGTGTTGGCACTGTGAGGATGCAATCGAGTAGAAGTTCCTAACCACTGCACTAGGCTTCAGTGGGCCACCAAGGCCAGAGGCGGACATGGTCGGACGTGGGAAGTTTGGTGTAGAGCGTATCCCGGCCAGATGGAGAAACAGCTAGCATTCTCACTGACGGTCTCTGATGGCTCTTGCTCTTTTTAGGCAGCCTGTGCACAGAGGTCACCTACTGCCCAAGGCCATTCTGCTACTTACAGGTACCTGGGCCGGACGACCATGCTGCTCCTGACTTGGCATTTCACAGCTCTGATTGACTCTGGCTTCCCTTCTATGTGGTATTCTCACTTCTGGGATGGCAGAAGCCCCACCCGCCCACCCAAAGTAGGCTGATCACCTATTATACACAGCAGGCAAAGCTGAGCCCCTGAGGAGCCAGCTGTCCAGTCGTGGAGCAGGTGAGCTAAGGTTTTGTTCCAGTATTCCAGGCTGCAGTGATCCAGAGAACACTGTCATGGAGCCAGGGAGAGGAGGTGCAGGTCTTCCAAGCATAGGCCTCCATTCATTGAAGGCAGCCATAGCAGATGACAGCCCTGGCTTTCATCTGGGACAGGAAAACCCACCCAGGCTAGCTGCCCTTGGAGTGGGAGTGACAAGTGCTGGACTCTCCACCATGGGCCTGAAGACCTCTCTGTCACCTGTGGGGGTGAACCAAACTGGAGCCACAAGCAATGGGATCTTCAGCCCCTAAGAGACACAGCTGTGGTCAGAGTCGAGAAGCCTCTTCCCTTCTGTGAGGTTAGTTAGTGGCTTTCAGGGTGGGCAGCCGATGGACCCCTAGAAGTTTATGCTGATGGCACCTAGACAATATACCTATGAAAGGACTAGCCCATGCTGGGGAACACAAGAAGTGCGTGTTCGTGTGGCAGGAGCACAATTTCTCAAGCCCTTATTTTGAAAGAGGTGAGGAGGGCAAAGAAGTGAGAGAGAACTAAGAAGGCAGATGCTGTCTAGTGGACAGGCCTCATGCTCAGGCCACGATCCACAGGTGTGTAAAGTTCAAGGGCTCGGAGAGTCACCTTTCCAGGGCCTCTTCAGATTCCCTGCTTGGGTAACCTCAAACCCACAGCTCAGCCCCTGCTCGATAGCTCTTCCAGGGCAGGCAGTAGGGTGAGCGTCCCTGGCCGGGAGTTGGAGAGGCAGTGGTCAGAGTACAACGCTACTGGCGAGGGCAGAGCTCAGAGCCCAGCTTTTCCTTCTGCCAGCTGTGTGGGCACACAGGCCTGCTGGCAGTGTGAGCTGCCCATCAAATCAGGCATTGGGCACAACTGGGCAGCTGTATCCTTTCCCTGGGTGTTGACATTTGGAAGTTCCCAGAATGCAGTAGGATTTTGCACCTGGGTTGCTACTCTTCTCCTGAGACGGGACCACACAGAGGGTATCTGGCTCCTAAGAGCCTTGGTCTGTGTGTGCAGGTGGGGGGGACGTACCCCTCACCTTGGTGGAGTAAATGAGCAAAAAATACCAGAAGTCATGTCCTAGGCATGGGGCTTGGGAGGAGGGAAGGTTCAAGCTAGTACAGGGAGCAATCAGAAACTGAACCACTGACTTCTAGGAAGCCAGATGGAAGTGAAAGTCAAGACAGAGTCAAGGAAGTAAGATGAGTCAAACGAGTGGGTGAACACTGTCAGCAGAGGAGGACGCAACCTGGAGGAGATGGCGAACTGCAGAGAGGGCGTCAGAGGTACTCCTGTATGTTTTCATCCATCGCTGTCCCCACGGCCTACTGGTACACAGTGCCAATACTTGGGAAGGAATGGATTCCCTCGGCCAATGCTGCGTTTACCAGGTGGAGGCATATGGATGGAAGGGCTGTTTGGGGTGATTCTGTCTAATCCCTTCAGTGCACAGACAAGTACAGACACCCAGAAGGGCGCAGACACCCAGCGACTTCCTAGGACTGGTGGGGTAGGGATGCTTTGCCAACTCAGGGACTTCAAGAGCTATCTTGTTCTTTTTAATTTTTTTTTGTTGTTGTTGTTGTTGTTTATTTGTTTGTTTTTGCCATGGAGTACATGCACTCACCAGAGAGAGGCAGAGAGAGGGAAAATGAAAAATCACTCCCCAGGGTGGGTGGCCATACTGCAATCCCTTATTCTCCATTCTCTTCTCAGGATTTTGGGCAGATATACATGCCTGGCATGATTTCAAGTCACCTGGTCTGGGATCTGAACTACTGTCAACTATGTGGGAGTCCAGTGCCTTAACTACCACGCCGCCTGCTGGCCCCCGTGGCTATCCTATAAAGGACAAGTAGGGGCCAGACTGGCAGCCGCCCTCCAGGACAGGGATTGGAAACATGTTCTTAAAGGGCCACAGTGTGATCAGTACAGTCACTCCACTCTACTGGCGGGGAAGACAGCCATAGGAAACACGTGAGTGGATGTGTGTGGCTGGGTTCCAGCAAAGCTTGACAAGAACTGGGGCCAGCATGGGCTGCATCACCGACAGCGCGAAAGCAGGCGTTTTCCTCACTTCCCCCTGAAGCTGGCCACTGGTGCGAATGACGTAAGTGGCAGGACACTGAGCAGTAAGGCCTGGCGTGACGGCCTGTGTCTTCTTCAGGAGAACACGCATTAGTAGGGTAGACACTTTTCTAGGGAAAACCTTTACTTACAGATTTTATTAGATATGAGAAAAGATATTTGGAAAAGACTATAGTTTCTCATGACTTTTTTTTTTTTTTTTTTGAGAAAAGGAAAACGTAACAAAAGAAAGGAAGGGAGAAGAAAAGAGAAGAGAAGCCGGGAGGGGGGTGTTGAAAAAGAGAAGGGAGGGGAAAAGAGAAGGAAAGAGAGGAGAGGGGAGAGGAGAAGGAAGGAGGGAGGAGGGGAGAAGAGAAGAGAAACTAAAGAACTCGAAGTGTTACCTTCTGAACCAAGTAGACACTCGTGGCTCTCTCCGCAGCCACTCTGTCCAGATCGGATCCCTCAGGAACAAAGTAGCTCACGTCGGCGATGTGAACTCCCACTTCAAAGTTCCCTGGAAATACACAAGAAGGACCATCAGCCTGGGCTGGAAGACAGGGCAACTGCTCTGAGGAATCCTCTCAAGGACGCATGTCACTCGCGGAGGCCATAGGACTTGAGTGTAGGCTGCTGGGCACACCCCCTAACCACTGAGACCTACCCTATCATCACATTCTTCACTGTACACCAGAAGATGAGATTTTTATTGTGAATAAACAAGATTGCCATTTTCATAAGCAGTATCCTTTTTCTGACGGCCTCTCATCTGAGTAAAGATCAGTAGAAGACATGGCTCATTCTGGATGATGGACACATCCTTTGCGGTCACAAGCAGTGAGTCAGTCCCCAGATCCTGCCAACGCTGCACCTGGAAGCTCTGCCCTTCCTATCCATCCCACTGGCCATGGCCCTTATTCGGCCACACACCTGGCCTCCCTCCCTTTCCTGATCTTATCTTATCTCACCCCATTCATATGTTTGCTTGGCTCATGGTTTTTCCTATGCTTGGAAGAATCTCGTCAGGATCTGCCTATCGAATCATCCTCGTTTTATACGGGGCAATGGAAAGAGGATCCCACAGAAGAGATCCCCTGCCCTCTGTCTCCACCTGCGTTGCTAAAGCAGCAACTCTACCTGATGATGCGACCCGGTCTTTCTTCAGTGTGCTCATCATTCCCAGATAGCAGTGTGTCTTTATTGACTTCCTGGTCCACTGTCTGCCTGTCTCCTTATGGTGTGAGAGCCAGCAAGTTCACTGTTGCATGCCCAGTGTCTGGAAGAGTCCCTGGCACATAGTAGGCACACAATAAATATTTCTTTGTCTATTGTTTCTCCCCTCTTTAGAACTGCCCTTTCCCTTCTTGGTGAACTGTCTCTCAACAGGCTCTCTTTCCTACCAGTTCCAATGGGCAGGTGGTGACCCAGGAGAACCA